GGAACATGACAGTCTGGTAGCGAAGAAAGTATTCGTCTGTTAACCCTGTCAGCCATTGCCTCTAGTTCGCATACTAAGGGTGATTTGGTCATTTAGTGTTGGACTCTTGAGGTTGTGAGAAACGTCTTCATCTCCCAGGGCAGCCGGTCTGCCGCTGGTGTGTCAATGGCGAAACCGTCATCCTAGATTTGTTGTTTGTCGTCCATAGTCTGTCTTCCCGCCATGATGACTTTGATGGCGCTCTGGACCTTTGCCTCAGTAAATTAAGTCGTAAACAAGGGGACTGTTCATACGTTTTTTGCTGGTTTTTCTCTTGCGGGTGAGAAACAAACTGAGGTTTGCTCAAGTCACCAGCATGTTGAAAGTGCTTGGGCTTACATAAGGCTGTTTCCAAGGTACCTGCGTGCCTGCCTAGGTAGGTACCTTGCCTTGCCGTACCTTGCCTTTTAGTGCGGGCAGTTGCTCCTTCACGATATCACCTTCCTTTCGGGTTTATGCAATTCACTCTAGAAAGTGCCGACCTCCCTACCTTGGTAGATTATTCTTTCCGCAATAGACAACGGGACTGAATGTAGCAAGAGGTGCCTTCCATTGCTCCTGCATTTGCCCAAGTAGGTTGACGAATTATTACCTAAGGTACTAGAGACACTGCGAGGCACTTGTTTCTATTCTGCCTTCCTGTAGGACATGAGGCATCCCAAGGTCCCTTACTTATGTTGCTGATGTAAGTCCTCCAATCTTCATGCTTCGTGTTTTTTTTATGCATCGACTTCAATCTCCGACCACGTCTGATTCTCTGCCTCTGTGTTTTTGGTTTCACTCCCTTCGTGCAGGCCGACTGAACCAGCAAACCGGCACCACTAGGTGCCGTAGGAACCTTACCAACACAGGCACTCACGGTTTCCCACGTCAGCCACGTGTGCAGCAGCAGCAGCAGCATGTTGAGCTGGCGAGATTTGGCTCCAAGGCATCTTCAGACTCCATCCCACACGCCCGCCCCGCGCCCTTAGAGACTTGCTATGCCAATCTAAAGTTTTGGTTCTCGATCCTGACCCGTTAATCTCTTCCTACCTCGACGGCTTTTCTACAATTACGGTCCACGGTATCTGTCTATCTACGGAGAACAGGTCGGTCACGACCAGATGTCACCGGTAACTCAAGCTTCACTGATGTATCAAAGAGGCTGGAACTCTCCGACTCCCATTAACCTTTGACGTATGGACCAACCCAGACCGTGGTCTCGACCGCTCGGCTCCGGAAAGTACCTCGCCCTCCACGACACTACACAACTCTCAAATTCATCCGATAACCTGCCAGACACTCAGAAGCCAATATCAGCAACATATTGTCGTCGCGTAATGTCCCGAATGTCCCGCACCGCTGGCGAGTGACCACAGGTCATCTTGCCTCTCTCCCGAAACACCGGCTTTCTTGAAACATGTCAGTCACGAGTCCGCGTACGACAAACAAATCTACGTATTACAGATCAGTAAGGAGCACACACGCCAACTGACTGTTGGCATTTGGCTCTTTGCGCTTCCCCGCCGTCGTCACCCACAGCAGCTCTTCCCAAGCTTCATCAGCATCGCAAGGTTCGAGCCGCCTTGTCATTCGGCTCCATCCTCCTTCAGACATCTCTACATCTTCCACACCGTGCACCGATGCTCCTTCTCGGCACTTGAAGAGACTTGAGTCTTCGAGCTGGCCAACGACACTCACTCACGAGTCATACTGTTCAACGACTAGGAATCAAGTTGCCCCCTACAAAGTACACGATCAAAACATCTCCAGTTCTCCTACGGACATGCTTCCTCCACCACATCCATGCATGCATGGCACGGGTGCCGTAGCGCTGTGGGCCACTTTCACACACCCCAGATTCCTAACGCCACGACCCAAGGCCTTAATTAATCTCAGGGCCAGGGGTCTCTGCTCAGTTTGCTCCAATCATACCCCTGCGTTTTTCGTCTTCCTGGTCCTCGTCCCTCTTTGAGGTCCTCAAGTCCCAGACATTTGATGCCTCCACTTCAAAAACAGCACTTCCACTTCCAGGACCAGGGCTAGGGACGGCAAAGTGGCCCAAGCGGGTGTTCTGAGTCTGGGCCAGCCAGGATCGAATGCCCGTCACGTCAATACAGAGAAAAAGAGAACTACCTATGGGCACTTGGAATGGATCCATTCGAAACTGGGATCCTCGCCAGTCACGGTCGTCCAGCAAATGCTATCCACGTCCTCCGTTTGCTGTCACATTTGAGATGCTATTCGCGGCGCGTCCACAGCATTCACTCGACGTGTCACGCCTTTATGGGAATGACAAACCCCACAGCGGCTTCATGCGCGAGCAGCTATCGGCTGGATTTTGTCCTTCTGCTGTTGCTTCAGACACTGTCTGCCACGTCGCGCGCTGTCCACCCACTGGGAATGTGGCACTGGGCTTTCGCCGTGATCTGGCTTTGCCCCCCTTGGCCTAGGCCTGTGGAATCCTACAATACAAAAGAGAGTGGCTAGTCTTGTTGAGTATCTGGCCAGACTCGGTCTAGCACGTTTATGTGTCATGCAGGAGGTAGTACCGCTTCTGCAGGAACAGACTACAGGCACATCCTCCGCCAGCAGGAATCGTGGAATTCGCACACTGAGCCGAGAGCCAAGGCGCCCGTACTTCGTACTGGCAGGCACCTTGGGTTGGGTTAACTATGACCGGACACATGCTACTCCGTACACCGTCTTCTACTCAGCCGTCACTTGCGCCGCCAAATGAGTGCACCATATATCCAGTACAAACATCTGCTTTACAAAAAACGGCAGTCATCACGGCATGACTCTAGGGCGTTGCCTCAACTTCGACGCAGATAACCTCGAGGGACAGTTGTCAACCCAAGATCCCTCGAATCGACGGGCTAGATTTCTAGGAATACTCGCGGGATATTCACTTCTCGGAAGCATCCGTGGTCTAGTGTTACAAGACAGGAAACTCGTCGAGCCCCTTCAATCTCCAATCTCTTCCAGTTTTGTCGCCAATTGCACTCTTGGGAGTTCGAAGTGATCCTAGACTGTCGCGCAAGTCCGAACCCGAGCGCCTGAGAAAACACGGGACTATGCAGTCAAAGACCGCTCACTCCAGCACTCACCATGCCTTCGATGACTCGGGAGCAGTTCCTAACCAAGTCATGAGGTCACACAACGCAACTGGGCAATCGCTCGAGCCTCTCATCAGCACCTTTCAATTACATCTCATGGAACAGTCTAGGCTTTGGAAGTTCCCAAAGTTGAGACGCCGTTGAACTGCGGAACAAGCGGCTCCTGATCCTCGTGTGCAGGCACTTTTTAAAGAAGCCACTGACATGATTGGCACATTGGCAACTGAGAGCTTCCCAGCCTACATACACAGAGTGAGTAAGTTGGGCAGTCCAGATTTACGTGGAAAAGCGGTGTCTTTGCTGCAGCTTCTACTTCCACCGATGGCACTGAAAGGCTAGTGGATCAGAAGGGGGCCGTAGAGCAATCGGTCAGGTCGGCAATTTTCTTCGATCTGAACAGGCTCGATTTCCATCCGTAGGGGCAAACAAGCCGGTACTCGAGGGGCAAATACGGCGAATCGACAGACCCGCTTAGAACCGGCATTCCGAAGCAAAATGGCAAGATAATTTTCTTCAGGCCCCTGAGGCTCGCGGGCGCAGACCGTCAGTTCTTTTCCAGATCCGGAGAATCGTCCCCGGTCGTGTTGATAAAGTCGACATTACGGCCTTCAATCAGCCAACGAGAGAGCTCGGAGTGGGATGGAACAAGCAACAGATGGCAGTGAAGAAAGCGGGCCCTTGGAGAGACCAGGCAGGTTGTGATCAGAGGCATCAGAAGTCGATGCCAATTTAAACCGCTGCAGCGGTGTAGACTACGGAGTACTAAGTACCTTGTTATCGAAGAAAGTTAATTCTTTCTAAGTTATAAGTATAAGAATATAGTTTTAATAAAATAGTATAGTACTTACTTAGTACTTAAATTAAAATACTTTTTTAAGCTTATTATAAAAAAAAAATAATTATATTACTAATTACTTACTATCGAAGTTTATAAATAGTACTATAGTTTTAATTATTATAATTTTAACTATAATAACTTTATTTATAATAAGTAAAAAGTCTAATTATAAGTCCCTTAAAAGCCTCTTATTAAGAACTATAAGAGCCTCTAAGTATACTAAGTTAAAATACTTATTAAAATATTAATAACTAAACTAACCCTATAATAACGACTTTAATAAAAAACTTAAAAAAAAACGCTAAAATCCTCGCTATTATTAAGTATAATTTACGACGTATAATAACGTAGTTATAAAATATTATTAATATATTCTATACTAAAAAGAGTATTATTAATATTAATAAAACGGATAGGGTTATATTAATATAATACCTCGGCTTCTTTTTATAATTCGAAAATAATTATTTTAAATAATATTAGAAGTTTATTAAAAAGCTTTTTTAAATACTCCGGTATATTTATTATTATTTTTATAATAATAAGACTCTTAGTACTTATATATAAGAGTAAATTACTTATTTTTAAATAGTAATATTAGCTTATTAATAAGCTATTAAAACTATAATTCTAGCGATTTTTTAATAAAAGAGAGGGTAGAATAGAAGAAAGGATAAGTAAGAAAAGGGTTAAGGTTAAATAGTGCGGAATTCGAGGGTAGGGTAGCGTTTATATGTACTGCGGTAATCCTCTAGTAATGCAAAACGATGGAGTTAAACAGTGAGACTACGGAGTACGGAGTACGGATATGGCCTACGAAAACCCTCTGGCGGAAGTGCAGCTATTCCCGACTGGTGCTGTGGACGCGAACCAGATGCGAGTACCAGGAAACCCCCTCTCCAGCGTCGCTTTTTCCCTCAGCGCCTCAGCGGCCGTTGTTTCTGGATCCTGATGGCTGGTGGATCCAGCAATCTTAATCCATTTCCATGAGCACATTCGAACCACAGGCGCGAAAGCCCAGGAGCTCAAGGCGCGCAATGAGATCCCACACTACAATCCCGTGAAGTATGAACGGCCAAGAGATCCATGTCTAGTACGACGAGACAACACCAGGAAAAGGAGCATACATTGCGCTTGTCCTGACGTGCCTGGCTTGCACTCGCGAACGCCTCGAGACGCCTGCACGAACTCATGAGCCAGAAGCCGCTCTGAATGGGAGAGACAATTGGTGGCCTGTGCCAGCCGCCTCGGAAGCCAAGCGTTAGGATCGACAGAGCCAGCCAATCAAGCGTGGCGGGAGGGCAAGAGGACTTGGACCCTGAGAAAGACAGGTGGGAACTTGGGAGCTCGTTGCATTGCAAACTGGAATACCTAGCCCCTCGTCCCATATGGGACCCAGGCGGAATGCCGTCAGGAATTACGATGCTGGTCTTGAACTCACTGCACAAAGTCCTAGGGAGCAGCCAGAGCGTCAAACACAATATGCTACTTTGTCCCAGCATACGGGGTCATCTTGTTACCACGCCAGACGGCAGCTCTAGGCCAACCATTGTGCGGTTCAGATCTGCATTGCAGCCCATGTTCAAGGCGGCTTGGCCAAGCATCGGGAAGCTCCAGTTCCGCTGATGAAGCTGTCCGCTACTGCACCTCACCAGCTGCAGCTCACTTTTTGTCATGGTCGTCCGTTGCTGCAGAACACAACAAGCGATTGTTTCGTTCATATGACAAACAGCCAGCTGCATGCGAGGGCTTTGAAGCCTCAGACTACGCCAAGTACCGTAATGACAGAAGATGATTTGGAGTTGGAGAGGTTCTAGTGACCGAGAGAGTGCGAGACCACTATAATCCTTCATCAACTCCAATCACCAAGCTCAACGAGGCCCTTCGTCCGAAATCTTAGCGTGCCATTCGTAGCCTTGTGTTTGATGACCTCAGCCTACGTGGGACTTTTGGCACGCAAGCTGTTCTCTGTTCGCACCAAGAACATTTGAATTTCCTCGGGCCTTGTGCCCTCCACGATCCCAACAAGAAGATGGCGTCTTTGGGTCTCCAGTGGACCCGTGGAAGGTAAGCTTCTCTGCTTCAAAGTTCTGACTTTCTGATAAGTCATATTGCATTGGCTTTGGACATTCTCGCCCCTGGATCAAGCCTGGTGGCTTCAGACAGGCATGATTGGCCAATACTGCCTATACCTGGGACAAGCCAATCAGCTCATAGGTGCTTGCTTTGCAGATGTATGTGATGGGGCCGCACAGCTACGTCGGCCGGGCCTATACTGAGGCAATTCCTGGCCCCTACCTCGGTAGGTTTCCATCAACTCCATCAACTCGATCCCCAGACTACAAAAAGACTTTCTCACATCATCTTCAGTCGACAGCCCAGTATAGAAACGGGAAAACTCCTGTGTATCGTCAAGAGAGAATCATTGCCTTTCGATATCTTGAAATGACAAATTTCAAGCAACTGCTCTGTGAACCAAGCCAGGATTACTCTACCAAAAGCAATACGGATTCGGTTGACATCCCGACCCCTCAACCTCCCGGGGTCGAATAAACTTGGGACGAAGTCCGCTAGAAGGAAGGTCGCAATTCCGTCAGCTGTGCAGCAGATCAACTCATCAACCTCGTCCTGCAATTCGGGCTATAGCCATCCCATCCAATGACGACTCGGTATTCTCCCGCAAAGTGCGGTGAAACACCAAATCAGTCGCTCCCATGACCGCCAGCCATCTTCAGCCTGAAGTCTAGCCGGCGTCGCGGGCATGTTTCAGATCCGCCATCAATCTGAGGGGGAGGGAAAGCTTCTCGTCGCAGATTTTCTCGCTTCACCACCTCGACCGCTTCAGCTAGACTAGACGAAGACACGCAGCACGACTATGAAGAAAACTCATGTGAGCATGTCGATCCCAGTTCATGCGCACTCCTCCTCTCTCGTCCGCTCGCGGAAGAGGAGGGAGCGATTCAGGGCAAACATCGTAGGACCACCGCTGTAGCCTGTTAGACACGTTGCGGAAGTTGAGATGATGGGTCCTGACAATCAGACGGTCCTCCAGTCCCCGGCTCCCAGATTCCGTCGGTGAGATGGATGGGCCGGCTTCATTGGGCGCAGGACGTCCCCAGACCGAGCCTGCCATTCTCCTACTCGTTGACGCTGTCACGAAGTGTCACTTGTCGCAGACGAAATGCGCCAGGAACATGCCGGCTAGCCGCCGCTGTGCATTGCGGTTTGCTCACTATGCTAACTATCGCCATGCGAAGCGATGTTCGCCACGCTCGATGCACACGACTAAACAACCCGAACTTGATGGTCGAGGCGAACCCCTCGAGTCACGATCGAATTCATCGGCAAGGAAACGGCCCCCAATGCAAGCTTTCGTTTTTCCATATCGTCTCTTGAAAGCAAGAGGGAGACAATCCCCCATATGAGACGCGGAGCCCCATGCCGTTTCAACCATGGGAGCGATCCACAATGTTCAGCTGACAACCGCGATGAGCTAGCCTGTCTCGCCATGTTACGAATGAGATGCCTCGTTCGATGATGGCCTCCACGTCACTTAAGCGCATCTGATCATGCCGTCTCAAGATCCGGCTCATCAGCCCATCGAGGTACGGCTGGATGATGATGGGAACCCAGGCCACCTTGATCCTCAACCAGACCTTCTGCTTATCCAGGTGCACCACGTTGGTCTGGTCGGAGACCGTGGGGTTCCGGATCGGGTCCAGTCCGCGGATAAGAGGTTCCGGGACGGGGCCGATCAATCGGCGCCAGTGCCGTTCAACGACGGTCTCCCGGACGCTCTACCCGCTCTCACCTGCGTCCGCATAGCTTTGATCGATGCCTGTGACCTCGATATTTTACGGCAGGTTGACGGTCCAATGCTGCGTCGCTTCCTATCGATGTCGGCGCCAGTCTATTTGGACATCTGCATCTATCGTCCAGCACACTTCCACAGGTCCTCCAAGTAAGGAAATCAAACCCTGCCGCACTGCCGTCGAATAATATCAGGTATCGAAGACCACATCTTGCCTACGTCGTATATACAGCCCAGACTAGATCAAGTGATCCTCCTATGGCCAAGTCAACCAAGCCACGAGTCCCGCTTTGGTCTCCGCCTTTTACGCAGTAATCTTCGGGGCCGCCGCTGCAGTGCTACGGAGCCCGCGTCCACCGAGAAATTTCCACACTCTTCTTTGGGGGGGCGCATTCGTTCTCATTTGTCTGCTCCGATTCTGCCTACCTGCTCGACAGTGGAGATCGGTTTTCGAGTAGCGAAAGAGGGTGAAGAGAGCCTCAACGTCTCAGTCTTGGCCGGCGTTGTCCGAGACGTCCTCGCCTTGGGTCATCACGAACCGTTTGGTGTTGAGTTCAGCCCGCGACTTATGGGTATCTCAAGCTGACGGGGTACCCGTCATTGAAGGCATGCGCATGATCGCAATGATCTCAGCCTGACAAGTCACATGCAGTAGGCCTCAGGATCAACGCATTGGTGTTTGGATATTAGATCTGTAGCACTCGAATGTTGGGCTAGCTGTTGACGGGTTTCCCGAGGTAGTTGCGCGTTGCCGCGACCAGACGAATGGACCATCTGCAATACATCACTGGAACTTCCACTTGAAGTTAGGAAGCAAGCCGAACTCCGGGTTCGACACTGCGACGCCAAGTCAATTTTGAAGTGAACCCCCGCGGCGTCATGGTCCACGAACACATGGAGACCAGGGCCGAGCCGATCCGAGCCTGGAAACTTCGTGATGTGCTGCCATGGCCGATGGAGAACAGCGATCACTGTAGGATGACCGAAGTAGGCATCCCCTTCTTCGAAATAGCAACCTTTCTTATCCCAGGAGGGATCATTTACTCGAGCCGGAGCGGCGAGGTTTCACACCCTATCGGAGTCGCGAACACGTTCGCTGCAGGGTTTGCGAGAAGGTTTTGGCAAGGGAGCACGCGATCAGAGACGATCGTGAGGTTCTTGGCCCTCCTGGGGTTCCGAGACAATGGGCTGGGTCCTGTCAATCGAAGTTCGATGTTTATTGCCGCCCATCGATTGGCGAGACACTGACAGCTCGTCTGCGACCACGACCAAACTCCTTCAAGCACGATGCAGTGTTGCACCGTGAAGGGGAGAAGGGGGGAGACGCCTCAGAAAGATTTCGATGCGCTTGCGCAGAAACAAAGCCAAGCGGTTATATATAGCTTCAGCCCTGCCAACACGGACGGGGCCTGGAAAAAACAGTCAAAATCGCGACACGGCGAAGAAGAAATGTAACCTCACGGGCCCGAGGAGACGGGGCTGCCCGGCTGGTTGCGGTTTGGCGTCGTCTCAGGAGCTGATGTAGATGCTCGAAACAGTGCGTTTCGGGACCTTCTCAAAATAGAGGAAGTGCGCAATTGATAGAGAGACGTCGAGACGCCAAAGAAGAACGACTTACTCATTTACCCTGCTGAGAGTTCTCAAACTGCATATAATCTATCGATATTATCTCAAATCACCATTCATCTTGCCTCACCTTTTTCTCCCAATCACGCGACTTTTGAGACTCGTATCTTTTCAAGGCCGCGTCTCAATCAAATGCCAAGTTATTTGTCTTTGTATTCATCGTCAAGCTCCCTTGTTATATTGTATGGCAACTTATTCATACTTTGCGTGGCTCTCTCCTCGACCACGTGCTCCTGCCATTGGAGTCCTCTTTCTTCTCGGATCGGTATCGTCGAATCGACTTACTCATCTACCCTGCTAAACCAATCTATCTACACATGCCAGGTCCACCGTCGCATCTCGATATATCGCGGCTAATTCATCCTATTCTGCCCACTGCCTAGTGCCCGGAGGTCCCCTCTAGATGGAGAAAGAAATAGTGGATCGAATGCGAGCTTGAACGGTGGACCAACCTCTCAAGGCTTGTTACGCGACGCCCAGGGCTCGCCGTCGAATATGTCCGAGTATTTGTCCCATCCGTTCGGCCGGGCTTTCCGAGAACGGGATTGCCGAGTTCTAGATGATTTGATAGCTTCGACTCCGTGATGAAGGGTGGAAGTACCGCGGGCTGCACCACGTAGTGTCCGGGAGAGCACGAATGGTCAGGTCGCACACCTCTCTCGTCGTGTCGTCGCAGTCTTGAATACATAGTCGGTTAGATCCCCTATGAGCTTGACGTTAGCGAGAAGAATTACACGGTAAGTCTACGTCGCGGTAGAGGGGGAAAGGTCACCTTGCCTCTCCCGTCGCTGTGCTCGATCAATGTAATTCGACACGATATACCAGTCTCTCTAACATGATATTCCATCGTTGAGGTGGGCTGCAAAACCGTATCCATCTCACGCGGCTCCAAGACGGATGGGGGAACATGGGGCCGTCCTGTATTCCAAAGCAAATTCTAGCCGTGATTCAAACGCGATGGATGTCGCTGGATCCAGGCTCTCTGGTCTCCTTAGCGCATTGACGGTGGATGAATAGATCTCTCGCCCAACTGTTGGGAGCCAGTAAATTGAGACAGAGCCCACTGGGTACAAGCCCAGTCCATAACCTTCACACATCCTTTCCCAGAGCCAGTCGGAAGCGTACAATTCGACTCACGTCTAACCTTGAATCATCGTCACAATCACAAGAATCAACATCTCGCGAGTAGTGTCGACCACGGGTGATAAACATGACAAAGAGACGCCTCGCCCACACTGTTTAGTAGCTAGTGACTCAGACGGAGTGAGCTTCGTGCGAGCCATGAATTCTACACGCCGTATCATATAGGGGCTGAGTGAGTTGGTAGCATGCAAGGCCAGTCTTGAAGTGGAGACATTAGCCTCAGTTCGAGAGCGTCAAAGGAACTAGTCAAGAGGACGCAACAGGAATAGGCAATTGTAAAAGCGGCCGTCATTTCGAATATCATCATACGTTTCTCTCTATCATGACATATATCCCAGCACTGCTTTCGCTAGTCATCGCTTTCCCAAACTAAATCCCAGATATCAAGTCATAAATATCAAAGATTCCATCCCAGCGACGTCGCACCGTCTCATCGTATAAGAAACCTGGTAACGCCGCGAGATCAAAACCGCTTAAATCATCGCCAGACATGTATCAAATCAAACAAATAACCTCCCAAATACTATTCCAAACATTCAATCCAAACACGCAGTACCTGAAAACAAGGCCCGAGTCAAAGCACAGCGACCAAGGCTTCACCGCCTGTAGCTGTAGTCGTTGTACTCTCTCTCCCTCCTCCGGTCGGAGATGGTAACCCTCATCCTCTCCTCTTCAGGGGGCGGGGGCGGCGGCAGCATCCTGGGCGGCGAGTACCTTCTACCCTCGACGTAGCGGAACGTCTCGTACCGCGGCTCAACGGGGACGGGGACGGGGTAGGGCACCCGGACGGGCACGAGCTTCTCCCGCTCAACGTACACCTCTCTGATATCCCTCTCCCTGTCGCGGCTGCCTCTCCGCGAGTGGCTGTGGCTCCTCGACCGGCTGCTCCTGCTCGACTTGCTGCTCTTCACCGAAGGCTCGACGTCAACTGCGATGACCTCGATGGGTGGCAGGGGCTCCGGAACGACAACGGGTGGCGGCGGCGGCGGAGGCGGGAGGGGTAGGACGACGGGCGGTGGGGGAGGCGGAGGAGGCTTGACAATCACGGGCGGCGGCGGGGCGGGCTTGACGATGATGGGAGGCGGGGTGGGCTCGCGAGCCGGGATGAATGTGGTCTTCTTTGTGCGGACCGTGACGGCGCCGTTGGTGGGAGGTTCGAGATAGAGGCGCTTCTTTGCGCCGTGGTGATGGTGGTGGCGGTGGTGGTGGTGATACTCGTAGTATTCCTTTGACGAGGCTGTACGATGCATGGTTAGTCATTTGTGCTTGTATAGACCTGGCGCGAACGTTGCGACAAACGTTGACGTCAGGTATTTTGGGGCTTACTCGTACCCATTTTGGACGGCTGGATTCGTGCCAAGGGGATTTTTGAACGTATAGATGTTTCTTGACTGTGCGCCTTTTCGGTGGCCTACACTTTTTTCGGTGCGAGTGTCGTGATGCCGAGAGGGAAAGTTGGTTGGAGTTTGGTTATTTTGGGTTGGTTTTGAGTTGCGGGTAGACGCAGGATGCGTCGTGGACCCGAGGATGGGATGAGGTGTTACGTGTGTTGCGTGTTGCGACCCGAGGGATGTGCGAGATGCGATATGCGGGAATGCGATCCGCTAGACGACCGTTTTTTGCGACACAAGTGATGTGCAGAGCGCAAAGACCGGGTGAGGGAAAATCAGATGTTGATCACCTGGCGCGGGGTGGGCTGGCCTCTTCCTCTACACTACCTAAGGTCGGTAGGCACAAAAAGGGAGCCAGTGGCGAAGGAACGGGTGGGAGAGAAGAAGGCGTTGGAGCTAAGTAAAGGTGTCGCGGTGTCAAATGTCGGTAAGCCAGCGGCGGCGGCGGGTTGTAGTTATGATTGTGGTTGTGGTGGAATGAGAAGAACAGGACCAGTCCCTTTCGTCTGGAGTGTTGGCGGGCGGGAGATGCGCTATTCATATAACACTCATCCCACACCAACAACGAAGAGTCTAGGCTCTCTGGCTCGGCTGCAAGGAAGGTATGTATGTATGCACGGGGGTGGGAAGGAAGGGGAAGGGGAAGGGACGGGGAGTTGGCAGATGGCAGGTTGAATCAAGGTCCTCGTCGCTTCCGTAGAAGGGGGGAGGGGTGACTGGACTGGGCCTGCCTACCTGCCTGCCTGGCAGTTGCCCCTCCTTCTGCAAACCAACTAATGGGAAAACACCAAGAAATTGGCCTGTGAGAGAGTTGCGCTGCGGTATTATCATGCACCACCTCTCACCCTTCTCAGCTTGGCTGGTTGGGTGTGTGTCAGCCCAAGATCAAAACCGCCCACTGCCCAGCGGGAAGGGGACATCCACGCAGGCCAGGCTGCCTTGCATCTATCTTCCCCCTTCAACTACTCCGTCCACTCGGGTTCAGCTATCCGTACTAAGCCACAACCAAGCCAGAGAAGCAAACCCGCATAACAAGCACATGGACGACGAAGCTACGAATTACACTACAGCACTCCGTAAAAGCCCACAGTAGATCCGGGACGGGAGCGCCGAGATGCTACATAGATGGACGCACGTACGGGCACGCAAGAGTGGATGTGAGCATGCACGGGTATGGAGAAGTATTAACCCCAAAGAACAGAGACCGGATATTCGAGAAGAGAGGGAGAGAGGCGCACGCAAAACACAGCCTGGACGTGTGTTGCTTGACATGCAGATGGATACTGTATACAATCATTCATTGGGTGAAATGGTATCTAGAGCCAAGGTACTGTGCAGCAACAACTCCAATTCCAAAACTCCAGATGGACCACCTCATGCGATTCCAACCTTTTTGCACCAGTGTCAAGTTCAACCCAACCCATCCGAAACATCCCATCACTTCCTTCCTTTCCCTTCCCTTCCGCTCCCCTCCCTCCTCTTTCCTGCCCCTTCCTTAGTACCACAGATGCACCTGCCATGGGAAGTTCTCCCGCCCTCCATTCCGTCCTCTGGTCTGGGACTTGGGAGGGGAGGTGGTCGGCTGTCACCTGGCACCTTCCTTCCCATCGTGTGGCAGACAAGGGTGCGCCATTGGGCAATTGAGGCCTTATGACGCCAGCGGGCACGTCACGCCAGAAATTGGGAAAATCAAGTTGTAAAACCCCGAGGCGGTCGACCATCGGTACGTACACTCGAACATTGACCGGGATCACTGGGCACGCGGCACGTCCACTCCCTCCTCCCGGCCTCGGCCCCAAGTTCCCAACCACTCAGATGCTCAGAACAGAGGGAGTAGAGAGCTTTCTATCCAACCCTTCCAAAGAGCTAAGCTGTGCGCAACATGCTCCCTCCTTGATCGCAAAGCGCCGCACCAGCAATCACCAAAAGAGAAGGGCAGAGCTTCCAGACCACTCATTCGCTCGACTCACTGTAGCCGCCCTACATCTCCAGCTGCACTCTGCGCACTCTGCACTGCTTCACGGCGTCCGGCACCTGGTCCTGTCCGTAAGACGGGAAATTGAAAATTCCAAGGATGTTATCGTAACTGTCATGTCGTCGTGCATGTCTCTCCGCGGCCCTATCATCAATAGCCCGCCCACAGATCCCAACAGGCTGGGGATGCCAGACCACAACCGGGGAATCTTCCAAAACGCTTCCATCCTTTGAGTTCTCAGCTCTCCCCCCCATCTCGGCCATATCTGGGCCATCTGGGGCCACCCCTGATCGTGGGGTTTGCAGGGCTGAGCTTGTCAGATTGGGTTCTGTGTGTGAGCTGGCAGTCGCACGTCTCCGCTCAATTATCCTTCTCGTCCCAACCTTCTTTTTTCTTCCCTCGCCCAAGCGTAGCGTCTGTGTCCGGCTCTGTTCGTCGGGCTGCAAAGGAGGCAACATTTCTCTCAGATCTACTTTCCCCTTCTGCAGGACAAGAGACCACCTTTCGATGCGTGTATGCCGGTAGACGAGTAGCGGAAGGGCTAGCTGGCCTCAAATCTCCGTTGGGCGCCCATCCCACGATGCCAAGCCGATGAGCCAACACCCATCCCCAATCCATCGATCGTCCCCATCCTGCCGGCGCCAGACTGGCAGCCCAATCTTTGACGTGCCTTGGGTGAGTGTGTTCGGCGATTCGTGAAGCAGCCGGCAGTCGAAGAATCGACAATCTACATAGGCCCAACCACTTCCACAAAGAAGACCCTTGCACCCAGGGTCCTGGCGCCGGCTCGGGTGCCCCCGAGCTTCCTGGCTTCGATCCAAGGCAGTTGCACTTGTCAGACCAGGGCCGTCATGTAGTCCAAGGTAGCTGGTGGTGTCGTGCTGTTGCCAGAGGCGTACCGCGGTATGCGTCCCGCAAACTCACGTCCGTTGGCTTCGTCGTCTGTCCAGCCGCCTCGTGAAGCTCTGCTTGGCCAACATTGGCCGACTATACACGGCCCGCGGAGCATTGATAACCTCGATACCGGCATGCTGCTGGTAGCTAGGCTTCTCGGACATGTCCCCGCCACTGTACGATGAAGCGGGAAATTTTGTGCCCAGTCTGTCGTCGCCTCGCACTTTTCTGAGCACCCAGTCGACGAGGTGTCCTATCTCGCCCATCCACCACAGACCCAGCACAATCGTTAAGATGGTGACGGGTATCGCGGTAGCCCAGTACAACCACTGCCCGGCCTCCATGTCTCGGATGTCGCTAGAGTTCATCCCGAAGACGCTCGAGACGGCGCTCAGAGGCAAAAAGATAATGGTGACAATAGTAAAGGCATAAATCGCCTGCTCTTGCCGGTCCTTGGTCACCGCGGCATTGTTGAGGTTCTAGTTCAACTCGTTAGCGTGCCCATCCCAGAATCTAAGATGTCACAAGCGGTCTCGAACAACTACTCACCGTCTGTTCCAAAACGTCAGCCTGTTCAGCATACTCTTCAAAGTCCCTGCTCCGCCGCTCAAGTAGCTGCGTGCACTCCGCCGCCAGGAGATCCCTGAAGCCAGCCGCGTCCGTGGACGGAAGCTTGTAAAAGTCGGACACCTCTGCACTGGCAGCCATGACCATGGGCTCCAGCAGCACCTGCACGTCTTCGTCATCGCCGGCGCCATGTCTGCCGCTGCTTCTACCCATCCGCAAATGAGGCTTGAGAGAAGCTGTTTCGCGGTAGTTGGCTGCGGCGACCTGAGTTCGAGCCGATCGGTGAAGCTTCGCTGCTGCGGATGAACCTTCTTGACGAGAGGCTAAGATAGAGCTAAAGACACTGTTTTGCGCTGCAATTGCGCGGTTAATCACGCTCAGTTCCTGGCGCAAGAAGTTGATTCGTTGCTGGTACGAGATGTCCGACTGCCCGTTTGCAATCTCGTTTTCCTGCCCGCAATGTCAGTGCATGATACAAAAGTAGGTAGTCCACACACCACGAGTCACTCCAAACTTACCAACGATCTGAGATACTCTGAATAAGTGTCCGTAATTCCCGCATACTTTCCAGACGTGTTGGACAAGAGGCCGTAGCTGATCAGGGACACCACCTCGAGCGGGAGGACGGAAGACCGTTCCAGCAGATTAAGGCTTGACAGCCTTTCCATCATGTGCTTCATCCCGTTCTTGACCAGCGTGTCCGCCACCTCCAGATGGTCCTCCCACATGTGCGTTTCGTGACTCGCGTAGATCAGGCCCATGACCAGATGAAGCCAGGCTCGGATCAGCTCCAGCGGAACGTCGATATCCACCCGGTCTGTGGGTTCAGCATGGGACAGGATGCTCTTGAAGGCGATGACGGGGAGGGCCATTTGGCGCAGTGCTTTTCTGACCGTGGGGGCATTTGCGTAGACGGCTTCGCGACGTGTCTTGTCGAGGTTGTTCGGATGAGACTCACCCTCGGTGGTCTCGGGCTGAGGAATCTGAAAGCCGTTAGCATCTAATAGGGGCTCATGAGACAAACAATAGCCTTACTCTGACCAAGTTCATCACGGCACCCCAAAACCTCTCCGTTGTCGGTCCATCAAACAATGGAGGCAAGAAGAAGCGGAACAAGGAGTCAGCCGCGTTAAAGATATCAACACGCTCGTCATAATCTTGCTTCTTCCACAACTTCTTCGTATCCTGTATCTGCGCCCCCTGCTGCTCGAAGTACTCAAACACTTCATTTCTCGTCGACATCTCAGCCTCCAGATACGCCCGCCGATCTGGCCCGTTGGTCTCAGCCGTCAAAAACTCCTCGACTTCGGACAGCTGTTTCTGAAGAACGATAAAGTTGGGACCTTCCATTGGGCTGGGCGATCTTGCTTCGGCCCAGCTGAATACGTGAAACATCTCGTTGGTCTTGTTGGACTGTCCCGGTGGAAAGCTCATCCGGTTTCCAGCTGAAGATCTGGGCAGCTGTAGGCCACCAGACGATTGCCCTATATTGCAGCTCAGGCCTTGTTT